ATCAAGCCCAACTGTTACCCTAACCCTGCCATCCCACCACTAAACCCTGTCCCTAAGCACCACAGCTACACAGCTTTTAAATACCTCCAGGGATGGGAACTCAACCACTTCCCTGGGCAGCCCATTCCAATGCTTGACAACCCTTTCGGGGAAGAATTTTTTCCTAATGTCTAGCCTAACCCTGCCCTGGCGCAACTTCAAACCATTCCCCCTCGTCCTATCACCCGATACCTGGGAGAAGAGGCCGACCCCCACCTCGCTACAGCCTCCTGTCAGGTAGTTGTAGAGGGCGATCAGGTCTCCCCTCAGCCTCCTCTTCTCCAGAGTAAACAACCCCAGGTCTCTCAGCCGCTTCTCCCAAGACTTGTGCTCCAGACCCCTCACCGGCTTTGTGGCTCTCCTCTGGACATGAATCTCCCAAGAAAAAGCAGGGGAGCCCCCCCTGAGGTTCCTTCTCTTTACAAGCTCCCCAGCTGGCCAAGGCATGGCCAGCCATCCTTGAGCTCCTAGGAGCAGGGGGGATGCTCCTGCCCCGACACAGGCCAGAGCCCACTGCTGCATTACGCCATCACCAACAGAAAAAATGCATGCTACCGATACCGTAAGTGGGTGTACTTAAGTTGTCATCCTGCTGCAGAGAGACTCCGTCTAAACATTAGCCTTATTTTTCTTTGGTTACCTAAACCAGCCCAACCTTGTTCTGTGGTCGGTCCCAGCTTGCACAGGTGAAATGTTTATTCCTTCTGCTCCATCTCACCTCTCCCTGTTGCCTTCCATCATTCTTCTCCTGACATCTCTCTCTGGCTTGCTTTAGGCTAAAAGCACTGTCTCTAAAAGTACCACTATCTCTAAAAGAGCTAAGAAAAAAACATTTAGCGTTACTACATCCTCACTACCACTCTGCATATATATGTATTTTTACCCATTCCTTACATTAAAAGCAGCCTTTCCACCCCTCCTGGTGGGGCTGAGCAAGTGCCTGTCCCACAGAATGCATGAGGGGGCACCAGGCACAGCTCTACCTTGCTTGCCTCAGGCAGGTACCAATGTCCTCACCCAGAATTTCTGCTGGGGACAGACACACGGCCGTCTTAAATGCACACTTAGACACCAGGCAGCACGGCATGCGCAACCTCACACGTGCCTCGGGGCTGTATCCAGCCCCGATCAGACACAGCGGGATTTACTACCGCACCTGTCTCACGATGCAAGGATTAATTTAGGGTTACGAAGCTCTGAGCACAGGAACCGATGCATTATTTCTGAATGATGACAGAATCCAGTAAGGCGTCATTAGGTAATGGTATGAAATATCCCCGAAACCTCTTTGGATGGTGTATTTCCCTTGTTAAAATGCCCACCATATGTTTACACTTCTCTGCAGGTGAAATGACAATTTGGAAACGAACACAAATGTTTACAAATTGAACCAAATCTATGTTCCTTTCAGTTTATCTCTTACATCTTTTTTTCATCCACTGTTGCCATCCCAGACTGCAGCATGCTCCTCTGGAATCTCTTCAAAAGGCCCGCTGGCGCATCTTGCCCAGCACCAGTTGGCACAACACCATCTGCTGCAATTTCTGGGAATTTACTGCATTTGAAACGTGCCTCCCTAAAATGGACATCTGCAAACCCTTAGCTTTTACCCATTTTTGCTGAGGACTTTTATAAATTTCCAGTAATGCAGTGCCTGGAATTCCTTATAGATTCAAAACCGAGGTAAATGCCTTACTAACCACTAAGTATAGAACAGCGCAATGAAAAATGAATACAGTGATGAATGTGATATTTTAAATCCAACAACAACAACCCAGGCTGCCATGATCCTGCTGACTGTATGCTACAACAAAGTCCCGAGATGCTGACTTGAAGAAAAAAGAGACAAACCACATTTATCACTCACTTGGATTCCCACCAGCCCCCGGGGTTACACGACAGACGTGTTCGCTTGCTTGTGGAGACGATCCGCGGCTGTAATTCCTGCCCTGATGGTAATCTTAGTTCTCTTTGATCCTCCACTTCATTTTCTCCCAGTTTTTCCATATATTTACACACTGATTAGAGTCTTGCCTTTTATCAATCACATTTAATGTACGTCCTATGTGTTTTCCTTCTCAGAAGGAGAGATTTTTAGCATGTATTCCTCGTGAAATGCAGATTGCGGCAACCGCGGCGCTTCACGTGTCCAGCACATCAACTGAACTGTCACTGCATCCCTCATAAAACACTACGATAACTGCAGAAGATCTATTCAATATCATAACCCACAAGAACTGCAAAAAGGAAAACCTGAGTTCAGATGATGCCACATGTCTAGTGAAATCACAAGAGATCCCCTGAACCAAGCCCTGATCCCAGGAGGAGACCCTTGTCCCAGAAGGACATAAAAATCTCGGCAGGCACGGCCAGGAGGGATGAGTGGAAGCCATAGGAAACTCCCATGTTCAACGCTGACGGCAGTTTTGGTTACGCTGCAGTATCTATTTATGCTGCCCCTCAATTTATTTTACGTGCTGCTGCTTCGAAGTTAGGACAGGAACAGTATTTTAATAACAAATGTGAAAATTATTTCTTCTCTTTCAAAAGCCAGCAACTTTAATCGTACTGCAGGAATAACTGAGCTATTTAACAGTAGCACTCCACTGAAAAGTACACGCAGAATACAAGATAACTGAAGAGAGTGTGTGACTTCAGTCAAATGAACCAAATTCAGATGTCACTGACATTTACATCCAACAGAACCTGTTTGGTCGTTTCACTGCGGCCGCTACGAGGTTCCCGTTCATATCACACAAATGATTCTCTGCTGCTTTCTTTGCAGCCCTTTTTTTCTATTTTCGCTCTAAGACTCCTTTGCAGGAAGGCAAAGCATTAGCCATCCTGCCCATCAGCAGAAGCGCCACGATATATGATGGTACAGTAGCTTGCCAGAAAGCTCTATACCCAAATTACATATTACCAACAGCCCTACAGACCTTTCTGGAGCTCACACAGTAACAATGATAGGTAGCTTGCCTTAAAGTTTCTAATGCTGTATTGGTCTCTTGGCAATAAAACACCCTCAGAGGAGAAAGTAAAGTGGAAGATTAAGATAAAAGATTTATTTGGCATGTTCTTCTTTAGCGCCCAAGTCCAGCTCATACTTAGGAGAAAGAGGGGAGAATTTTCTTGATTATAACTCCTCTCTTTTCATCTGCCCTTTCATTCTGATGGCACCTTGCTCAAATCAGGACCATACTAAAATTTGCTTTATAGATCTAGCTTGGCTCTCCCTGATTACAAACAGGCACGAATGTTTATCTTGGTTTCCCAACACCTGCCTGCGTTGGCATTGCACAAAATGTTGAGGCAGATTTACACAGGCAAATTTTTATTTGCAGAGTCCACTGTTGATGGTACACATTGACTCACGTTGCCTTAGGGAAAAACAAAGGCCAGGGGAAAAAACAGGCGGGGTGACACGACACTTTCCTCTGTGATGGGATCCCCAAACATCCTTCCCCCGGTGCTCTCTGCAGCACAGCTGGAGGCGACGAGAGCGAAGATGAAGGTTGCAGTTTTTACCATGCTTCCTCTTCAGTACTACCGACGTTTGACTGTCGACTCCTGGTGTGCAGTCCCCACCTGTGATAGCACGAGTGCTGACCGGAGCACGCTTGGACAACAACGCGCGGCTGTCGCACGCTGTGAAGCTTCATGTGTGATTATTTGAACTGCTGTTGTGTGCTGTTCTGTTTCTTCAGGGTGGAAAAGAGGCGGGAAAAGAAGAGGTGAACCTCACACCAGTGAACATTGTTCTGTGAGACAAATCCACCCCAAGAAACCAGTCCTGGCGCTGGCAGGGGCACAAGAGCTGCTGCCCGGGGTACCCTGAGAGCAGGGTAACAAGGCGGGGGCAGTTCTGCCTCAGCTTCAGGGAAAGTTGCAGCAGCTGGGCCGACAGGCTGCAGACCTGCGAGC